TCTGGGTTTCTAGGAATGCCCCTGCTCTGTCCCAGCGTCCTTCAAGGCGGGGCTGCTGGCCACTGGCCTCCCCTGCACACAGCTCATGCCCCTTTCCCACTGCCTCTGCCCCCTCCAGAACTCCATCCGCCACAACCTGTCCCTGCACAGCAAGTTCATCAAGGTTCACAACGAGGCTACCGGCAAGAGCTCTTGGTGGATGCTGAATCCTGAAGGAGGCAAGAGTGGCAAGGCTCCCCGCCGCCGGGCAGCCTCCATGGATAGCAGCAGCAAGCTGCTCCGGGGCCGCAGCAAGGCCCCCAAGAAGAAACCTGCCGTGCTGCCGGCTCCACCCGAAGGCGCCACTCCAGCGAGCCCGGTCGGCCACTTTCCCAAGTGGCCAGGCAGCCCTTGCTCGCGAAACCGCGAAGAGGCCGATGTGTGGACCACGTTCCGTCCACGAAGCAGTTCCAATGCCAGCACCATCAGCACTCGGCACTCCCCCATGAGGGCAGAGTCTGAGGTGCTGGCCGAGGAGGAGATGCCAGCCTCAGTCAGCAGCTATGCAGGGGGTGTCCCTCCCACCCTAAACGAAGATCTCGAGCTGTTAGATGGGCTCAATCTCACCTCGTCCCATTCCCTGCTCTCTCGGAGTAGTCTCTCTGGCTTCTCTTTGCAGCATCCTGGGGTCCCGGGTCCCTTACACACCTACAGCACCTCCCTCTTCAGCTCAGCAGAGGGGTCCCTGGCAGCAGGAGAAGGGTGCTTCGCAAGCCCCCAGTCTCTGGAGGCCCTGCTCACCTCTGATACGCCACCACCCCCTGCCGATGTGCTCATGACCCAGGTAGACCCCATTCTGTCCCAGGCTCCGACACTTCTGTTGCTGGGGGGGCTACCTTCCTCCAGCAAGCCAGCCACAGGAGTCGGCCTCTGTCCCAAGCCGCTAGAGGTCCCAGGCCCCAGCAGTCTGGTCCCCACCCTTTCTATGATAGCACCACCTCCAGTCATGGCAGGGGCTCCCATCCCCAAGCCCCTGGGGGCTCCTGTGCTCACACCTGGTACTGAAGCTGCAAGCCAAGACCGAATGCCTCAGGATCTGGATCTTGACATGTATATGGAGAACCTGGAGTGTGACGTGGATAACATCATCAGCGACCTCATGGATGGGGGCGAGGGCCTGGACTTCAACTTCGAGCCAGGTAGGACACCTCTTCATCCACGGTAGCATCTCACAACCTACAGCCACTCCTAGATGCCCAGCTAGTGCCATGATCTGAGCAAGAGGGAGCTTTAGAACTGGCGGCCGGGGAGGAGGGCGGTGGCTGGAGCCCCTGGGGAATGGGGGAGAGGGCGTTGTATTAGAGGGGCGTAGCTCCCCATGGGACCTCCAGGCCCCTCAGCAATGCCCGCCCCTAGCAGCAGCAGCACAGGCGAGGTAGGGGGAAGGGCTGTCTCTGTTTTTTGTGGGTTTTTTGGGGGGGGGCGTGGACCTTAATGGTGGAAAGTTGTCATGCCCCAGATGAGCCTCTTTGTCTTCCATTTCTTCTTCCCACAGATCCCTGAGCCACGGCTGGAAGCTTTGTCCCCTGCTTCAGCGGTGGAGCCAGGCGTGCCCATATCCACTCTTTACCCTTGACCCCTCCCTGGGAATTCGGGACCCTGCTTTAGAGCTAGGGTGGGGTCTGCTCACACGGGGGCGTTGAAGAAATTCTCAAGATAAAGCTGCCCCATCTGGGAACTATGGAGGGAGGGAGGGAAAGGGGTGGGGGGAAAGGGAAAGGGTTTCTTCTCACTGTGCCAATTAGGGGGTGAGGCCCCCTCTTGGGAGCCATCCTTGGCTCCCTCCATTCCCGCCCCCTGGGTTTCAGAGCAGGGGTGGGCAATGCTGTTGGAAATGTGAAGTCACCAGTGGCCTTACCCCTGCCTTTGGGAGCAGGATCTTTTGTAGTCTTACCTGAGCTGGTCCGGGCTAGCTTGAGCCTGGGATTTTTATGCAGTGGCCCCCTAGGCCAGTGGGGTGGGGTGGGTAGGGTGGGGTAGTAGGGACCTGGAAGGGCCAGGGTCTGAGCACTGGAGGGGCCCACCAGGCCAAATCACCCTTGGAAGGCTGCAGATAACAGAAAGGCTTTTTATAAACTTTTAAAGAAATATAAACACAAATACAGAGATTTTTAACAGTGGCAAGGTGCTAGTGATGGGGAGAATGCTTTTTTTTTTTTCTTTCTGAAGGCTTTGTCATAGTGACATGATGCAAACACTACAGACATTACTTGGGGAAACATGGGAAGTGGGGGGGGGGGGAGAGAGAGAGCCCCAGGCCGCCAGAGAGCAGGGGGCAGGGGAGCAGCAGTGGAGAGCTGTACTGAGCAAGGGGGAAAGCTCTGCTGTGGAGATGTCTGGAACAAGGTCTGCGCGGACCTAGCTTAGAGTTGCCCTACGGAAAAAGCTAAGCCAGGCCCCCTGGTTCACCTTGTGTCTGGGAGTGTGTGCTGTTGGGGGTGCGGCCGCCCTCTCGCATGACCCACTGCGGGTTAGCGCTATGGTGGGAGAGTGCACTGAAGGCCTGGAATTAGTCTGTGGCCTGCAAAGGGGTGGGAGGGGGTGGGGGAGAAGAGGAGGGAAGGATTTAGGGTGGTAAAGTTAGGCACAGAGACCTCCCTGTTCCAGGCCCCTGACAGCTGTCCCTGCCCTTCTTCCCCTTGCCTGACTACAGGGGTTATGTGGAAGTGTGTGTGGTGGCAAGCAGGGGGGAGGGGTGGAACAGGGAAGGGGGAGCTGGGGAGCTTGGCCAAGGGTCTGGGAAATGAGCAGGGATAGAGGGGAATGTGGATCAGGTTTACTAGCACCTGCCAGGGTGGCCATCTGGGGCTCCTTCCCTACCCCAGCCCCCAAAGCAGCCCCTCCCCCAGTCCCCTTTGCATTGTCCCCTCCCCCGCCCCTGCTGTGGGTTCCCATCATTTCCTGTGTCAGCGCCTGGCCTACCCAGATTGTATCATGTGCTAGATTGGAGTGGGGAAGTGTGTCAAATCAATAAATGAATAAATTCAATAAATGCCTATAACCAGCTCTGGTTTCTGCTGCCTTGCTGCTCCCCTCAGATAAGGCGGGGGGCGGGGGAAGCAGAGGACTGGCGGGAGGGACTACTCAGAAGTGGAGGAGAGGTGGGGGGCTGGGGGAATTTCAGCAGGGGGAGTTGGTGGATCATCGCGGTGGGGGGAGGGAAGCTGCCAATCCCTCACGGAACCCCAGCAGTAGTGGGCGGGCTGTGATAGGCCTCTCAAGGGGAGGTAGTCTGGTTGGATAAGACCCCACCCCCTACTCTGTCCCTCAAAGGCTCATTGTAGCAGACTTCACAGTCTTGCCTCACTCCCACCCATGTGCTCACCCCAGCCCTCTCCTGCCACTCCTACTCACCCTCAGAGCCTCCACGGTGCCTGGGGCACACTTAAGCCTTGGTGCAGATATTGGGAGAAGGAGTCTTTCTTGAAGAAGGGACCTCATGTTGAATTCCAGTAATTTCATACCTCGTATTACTGCTCTCACTTGGGCACTTTATTTAGTTAGCGATGTTTATCCCTTCTACTGAAAAAGTCCGCTCTGGTCCTAAAGATCCGACCCCTGCGAGGGGACCCCTCTTCATCCAATCTTCCCGTTGATTTGGACTTGAAAAGGAAAGGATCCATAAGTAGATCAAGAGGCCCCTGCAGGGAAGCTTTCTACAAACTAGGGCCCGTGGCAGGCCAAGAGAGGTTGGAGGCAGGTCTTGGGCATGGATGTTGGATTTGGAAAGGAAATTCATCCCAGGGGTGGGGGCAGGGGGCAGGAGCCTTGGGTTGGCTGGTAGGGAAGGGCGGGGTGCAGGAACAGACTACATTTGGGGAGTCTTACTGGGAGGTTCACGGAGGAGTCAGTTGGACTGACTTTCTTGGCTTCTTGGCTTCTAAGCAATTTCATTCGGTTCCTCTCCAGGAGGTCACATTGTATACGCAAAGTGTCTGAGAACCAGGAAAAGGCACCCCCACCTCTGAGGACTAGAGACCTTACCTACCCACCTCATCCCTCCCATCATTCCAGTGATCACTTGGAATAACTGGGCCCAAAGCTAGGCTGAGGAGTGATCTGAAGGTGCCTAAATTTTGCTCTTTTCGGTGGGAACTGGGACACCGAGACTCCAAGAGAAAAGGATGAAGGGAAAGATGGAAACGATGGGTGGTGATAGGGAGATTATATCAAGACAGTGCCCGAGAAATGGGGGTGAGGAGTAGGGGTGAGTGACACACACTACTCCAGCCGGTTTGAGCGAAACACCCATCCTAAAGTGGACCTAGGCCGTAGTCCCCTTTTCCTAGGATCCTGCCTCATTACACAATTCGCACTCCATATAGAGAATGTACTCTATCACCCGGCTGTGTACGGTCCTCTCCACGTTCCTCCTTCCTCCATCGTGCTCCTTACCAATTAGCTCAGGTTCTGGATTCTTCAGGAGAGGCACAAAAGCTCTGTAGGCATTCTCCAGTCGGGTTCCTGTGAACACAGCAGTGTGCTATCTCCAGCCTCTGTCACCCCGTCCCCCCCTTCCAAAGCCCAAGATTTCAGGAACCTAACACTCGATGCTACTGTGAGCTGATATACCTGATTTCTTCCCCCTCAGGTCCAACCCTAGGCTCAGGTGGGGGGGGGGGCGCATAATATGCATAAACCTACCCTATTGTTGTAGAGGCAGTGCTCTTTCTTAGGCTGACTGGAGATGGTCAGTTTGGACCTGGTTGAGGGTCAAGGTTCACAGTCCATTTTGGACAAGGTTCACAGTTCAGTTTGAGGGCCCTGCCCTATGTTTCAGGAATGCTCCCAAGCCTCTACCTGGTGCTCCATGCTCCACCTTACAAATATAGTAGGTGTTTCGAGCAGTAAGGAATTTGCTGGCATAGTCTCCAGGGGTCCTCGTCAGGAAAAGCAACTTCATTGTCCCCGTTTCATCACACAAATCGATGGTGTCTGGAGGGAGGCCACAGGGTTATTGGGGCAGCTAAGGAAGGGGAGTGGGAGCAAAAAGGGCAGTGATCCTATCCTGAAGGGATTGGAGGAAGCTGTTGGATTCAAAGAGCTCTCTTCTTGCCTGTCGGAGGGCTTGGAGGCTGGAAATGACCCCGCAGACTTCTAACCCTTGGCCTTTAGTCCCCTCCCCCCAACTCCTCACCTGTTTTAGGCAACCCTACTTTATTGCGGGTATAATGCAGCAACAGAAGGACAGAGCAATTGGTATTGACCAGAAACTGCTGATTATCTGAGAAGACATGGAATGGGGCATGTGGCCTTTCTCTAGGTATACCATCCCTGTGACCGCCCCCCCACTGCCCTCAAACCTCCCCAGCCCTACATACAGACTCCAGCTCTGTAATGCCCCTCACCTCCATGTTTGATGAAAATGAACATGCTCTCAAGATCTTCTCACTCTTCAGATGGAGGCCTGATGAGTCATTCGGAAGGAGAATGTTCTAGAGGTCCTGGGAGGTGGGGGGGGGGCAAGTGGGCCCATAGGGTTGGGGGTCTGGAGAGGTCGGTGGATCGCATAGGCTGAAGAGGCCCAGACAGGGCAGACAGGAGAGAGCCACTGGCAGTGGTGGATAGCCAGCATCCCTAGGGGTGGGGCCTGAGGCTGAAGTTGAGGGATTATGAGGTCAGAAGTGGTATATGTAGCAGAAGGTGGAATAAGGATAAGGAGAGAAGAACCCAGGTGGGGTCTGTGAAAGATTTGCTGGGGACAGGCGCCTGGGTGGCTCAGTTGGTTAAGCGACTGCCTTCGGCTCAGGTCATGATCCTGGAGTCCCGGGATCGAGTCCCGCATCGGGCTCCCTGCTCGGCGGGGAGTCTGCTTCTCCCTCTGACCCTCCCCCCTCTCATGTGCTCTCTCTCATTCTCTCTCTCAAATAAATAAATAAAATCTTTAAAAAAAAAAAAGATTTGCTGGGGAGGGGGGCAACACGGTAAATCTAATTCGAAAATGCATCCTGCAGGGCGCCTGGGTGGCTCAGTGGGTTAAGGCTGTGGCTCTTGGTTTCAGCTCAGGTCGTGATCTCAGGGTCCTGGGATCGATGCCCACACGTCGGGCTCCTCCACGTTCAGTGCAGAGTCTGCTTGTCCTCTCCCTCTGCTCCTCCCCGCCCAATAAATAAATAAAATCCTTTTAAAAATAAAATAAGGGGCACGTGGGTGGCTCAGTCAGTTGGGGGTCTGCCCTCGGCTGGGTCCTGATTCCGGGGGCCTGGGATCGAGCCCTGCGTCGGGCTCCCTGCTCAGCGGGGAGCCTGCTTCTCCCTCTCCCTCTGCCATTCCCCCTGCTTGTGCTCTCTGGCTCTCTCTATCTCTCTGTCAAATAAATAAATAAAATCTTAAAAAAATAAATAAAATAAAATGCATGCTGGTAGGAGTGCCGGACACCTAGAGAAAAGCCAAATTTCTCGAACGCTGCTCATCTTTAGTTAATTTGTGGTACTACTCCTTGCACATCATGAGTCTACTACTCCTTTTTCCTCCTGTCAGCACCATGCCTCGCACCCTCCTTGCACCCCACATTTCCCTTGCTCCCCTCCCCAACAACAGACATTCTTGACGATCATCAACAGAAGCTTTATTTCTCATTGCTTGGAGCATAATTGAAGGGTAGATGGAAGGAGGGAGGGAAGGACGGAGGGACTGCGGGAGAAATAATCCTGCGAGGAGGAGGAGGGGCTGGATCTGGGAAGATGAGCCGCGTGCTCAGGGCAAAGGGGCAATTGGACGATAGGAGATATTGAATGGGGGGGGGCGTGGAGGGGGAGGGAAGTTATAGGGGGCATAAAATTCAGAATCAGCCACAGGGGGGCGAGGTGAGCATGGGACCCAGGCTGGTTAGAGGGGAAGTTAGTACAATTTAGGACTACAGGGCTCTGGGGTTCTATCAGGGTATCAGGGCTCCAGTTTCAGGTTTCAGGGTGTAGCATGGGGGAGCCCAGTAGGGGCTATGCTGGCTGCAGGGGGAGCCCCCAGGCCCCTCCCCTGGAGCCCCTCCTTTGGGGGGAATCTCACTGACGTAGCAGAGCCATTCACTGTAGTCTGGCTGCAAACTCTCCGCCAGGCCCTTGGACACTCCGCTCCAGGCCTAAAGACAGATATCTCCAGGTCAGGGGTCAATTAGGCGCAGGGAGTAAAAGACCCGGGCTCTGGACGAAGGGAGCTCTTACAAGGTCTGCAACGCCTGTGATTACGGAAGGGACACACAGACTCCCAGGGCCCCCCCATACCACTGTTGCCATCTGCCCCACCCGATGTATATAATCAGTTCTTCGGTGTGTCGCTCTCCCATCTAGCCCAACCTCCCACTGGCCGGCCACATCCTGACAGTTAGTGCAGGCCCCCTCCCCTCCCCTCTGGCCCCCATACTCTGTCTGACTTTCGGGCAGAGGCAGTCGGTGGTCGACAAACTGCAGTCTGCCTGTGACAATGTTCTCACCGAAAAGTTCCCGTGGTATTCGGTGACCAGATCCTCGAGGTTCTTGAGGGTAGGAATGCGGGGCAATATCCTGAACGGAGGAGAAAGAGGGAGCAGGAGCATATAGGTTACGCTCGTCCAGTACCCTTCTCCCAGTTCTCCCAGTTCTCCCAGATGGAATGAAGGGATTCTGCGGTCTGTGTGCCTGCAGCTTCCTTCCGTCACCATGCCCCCCTTGAGTGATCCCTCGTTCCTTGCTGTCCCTCTCTCTACTCCTGGAGACCCTGTGATAATCCTCCTCTACTATTTCTTCCCAGCCACCCCACCTCGTTTTCCTGGGATATCTGAAATCTCACCGTTCCAGGTAGCAGTACACAAAGATAAGGGCAATAATCAATCCCATGGAGACAAGGGGGATAAACACAGCTTGCAAAGCAAACACAGAATTCTCTACAAAAAAAAAGAAGAAAGAGAAAGTGACCTAACATCTGTAGTGCCCCAACTTTGGTGCCAGGCTCTGTGCTAGACACTTCCCATACCCTTAATCCTCACAACTCCTGAGAGTGGCAGGGGTGGGGGGGG